TCGTTATTACTAGTAAAATGCAGCTGACATCCAAAGATAAATCCAAGCCAAAAGTTAATAAGAGACAGAGCTAGGAGTCACACTCTCTCCACCAGCCCCCAAGATCTATATATTTCCTTGCAGTTCTATAGGATACTACAGGCCGTTTCAGAACTCCCAGTAAGGGGGATTTGGCTGTGCTCCGGTACTAGCATTTGTAGCTTGCTTTAGGTCTAGGTCATATCTGGGGGATTGGCCAGTAACACTTCTGTACGAACATCCAAGCATTTTCCAAGTTGAGGGCTGCCTCTACAATGATTTCGTGGTTCCCTAAGACAAAGACGTCTGCTGTAGGTCATGCTCATTTGATGACTTCCTGGGTTTTACAATGTTAATTTATGCTCTGCAGCCAAAGTAAGACTCTTTTGTTGCAGCAGTATGCACTTAAATGTCAGAGCTTTGCTGAAGAACCGTGTAGGCCTGAAGGAAGCCATTGCGTTCAATAAAATCCAGCCACATTTTATGTTTATGGCCTTTATTAGGGCATCCCACTGAGCTAGTTAAAAACCATGTATCTGTTGTCATTAAAAGCCTAGGATTCTCAAATTCACACATTCAAATAATAGTTATAGAATACATTCTAAGTGCCAAGGGCTGGCGTAGACTATGATAAACACACAGACGTAATCCCTGTTTGCATGGAGCTTAAAGTTTGGTTTGGTGAGACAGATATTTAATAAGTATAAGAATAAGTACATAAAGTATTTTGAGTAAGTGTTATGGAGAAAAAGGATAAGGTATTCAGAGGCTAACGTAGACTTAGTAGACAAAGACATCAGTATTTGAGTGAGGTAACAAGTAGGTGCAATTATTCCAGGAAGATGGGCTAGACTAGCAGGTGCAAAAGCACAGAGACAGGAAAGAGCCTGGCATGGTCAAGAAGCACACTGCTCTGTGCCTATCCAGAAATGACAGAATTAGCCTTGGGCTGACAGCCACCTGGTGTCACTTGTGCCTATATGACTCACTGCATGCCTTTTCCTTATGGTCTACGTCTTGTAAGTTCCCTCTGACTCTTCATCTTCATTTCTCAGCCATTCATATGTTGCCCATGTCCCCTGCCCTCTGTCCTCTTAATGTTCCTACCCACTGGAAAACTCATAACCCTTCAAGCCACACCTCCACTCTGTCCAATGGCCCTGCTTCTCTGACACAGTTTTTCCTGTCCATATCTTCCATCTGTCTTGGGTCTGGCCATCTTATGTCCATTAGAAACTAGCCACTTCATGTACTAGGGCCAGCTCCCTTTTTCTTGCTTCCTTGTCCCCTGCCCCTCCTAACCCTCCATGGAAGCATCGTAGTGTCATCTTCCACACCATCTAGATGCCTACAATTTTCTTTCCTATCCCTTGCCTATCATCCTAGACAGAGTCTGAGATCAGCTATGAATAAGACTTTGGGGATTCTCTTTGGCGTCAAACTTTGTCAGTGGAGCTACTCATCTCCCAGGAATCAGCCCTTTCTAGTTGACTTCAGTGTGATTGGCAGGGTCAGAAATGGTGGGTACCATGCCATGTCCACATCTGCTCCAAAACCCAGATGCCGCCGAGAACCCATCTGCTATATCTAAGGCAAATGCTTCCCTCTGTCCATAGCTGAGTTTTTTTTCTGCAGAATGGAGGAGACTGCAGGTGACCTCTGTAGTAACAAGCACTCTGAATCTCTGAGGAAGTAGCCTGTACTCTGCAGGTTGTTTGCCCTCAAAAGTGAGTATACATCAGAAGCCAAATAGCAGCAACTGTAATGATTGTTTGAAAATAATCACAGGCACAAAGAGGGCTCCAATGTTGCAGGAACTGCAGCAGGGACCTATTTGGTACCCCTGTCATGCCAAGTTTTTTTTTTAATGGTGCTGGGGATTGAATCCAGGGCCTATGCATGCAAGGCAAGAGCTCTAGCACTGAACCACATCCCCAGCCTCTGTTGTGCAACCTTCTTAGGTTAGAGTTAAAATCACCCGTGAGCACACAGTGGGACCAGAACTGGCTAAGATGTCCTGTCCAACACGCATAATGCTTTCATTATGCACAGGGTTAAACACCTGCCTGCATTGTGTCACCCTCTTCTGCTGGGTGCAATGGAGGCTTGAGAAGGTGAGTAAAAATTTGAATCTAGGTCCCACTGACTGCAAAGTTTTGTGGTTAAACACAATATTCCCATCTGGCCAGATGCCCCATCTCCCTGGAAACCCACAACCTGTCTTGGGTATCATTTAGCACATGTCTAAAGGAGGATGTGATGAAGAGTTTAGGTGACATTTTGAAGGAGGAAAGATGATTAAACAACCAGTTCCAATTGTGCTAGGTCAGATGAGACAGGGACCACTGAGCATGACAGGCTGACCTGGTTGAAGGGCACTGTGGGAAGTGACAGCGAACTGACACTCAAACAATGAGTCCAGGAAGCAGAGTGGGGTGGGGAGCATCATTGCATGTGCAGAACAGCGGTTAAAGAAAAAGCAAATGTTGGAGGAAAAAAATTCAGCATGGCTGCAGCACAGAGTACATTGCAGAAGATAAGCATAAGGCAGGAGGCACGGATGAGGACAAGCCCAGATCGGGGGTTGTGTTGGGAGGCCTGGTGTTGGGGAGGGATGCGATCCAGTTCACGCCTTCAAAAGATCACTCTGGCTGCCGTGTTGCAGGGCAGATTGGAAGAAGGAGATGGATCAGAGGGCTCAGTTTGTTGGAGGTGGTTGCAGAGTCCATGAAAGATGATCATGACACAGACAAGGGAAGTGGCCTCAGGGATGAGAAGAGGAAAGGGAATTCAAGCGCTAAACAGTGAGCTCACTTGCGCCTTTTACCGTGTCTCAGAGCATGATGGGAGGTGCCACCACCGCCATCCTGAACAGCATAACGGCATATGCTCCCTCTTGCCTACTCTAGGGAGAAATGGTGAGAAACAGGACCTCCAAGAAGCAGGGCTCATGGTGAGGGAGCTTTGGTGCAAGTCATGTTCTGCGTTGTATTGTTGAAATATGTTGAGTAATAGACTCTTCCAGTTGCAAGAGCGCTAATTACCCTGACTCTTTGTGTCATTGATAACTTATTCACAGTATTCACAGGCTTTCATTGACAATCTGAGCAAAGCAAGCTAGAAGCCAGCACAGCCCCCAGCAGATGTGAGTCCCTGGAAGAAAGGTCCATAGCCTGGTCAGCGTGGGGGAACATTGGCTCTGCCTTGAGTTTCTCTGGGGATTAGACAGATCCTTTTGTCTGAGATAGCAGCTGTGTAATCTTGGACAAAGGACATTCTTCAGTCTGTTTCCTCACTTGGAACTGGAGATAATAACTATCTCAGAGGGTTATTCTGAAGATTCCACTGTATCATTTGTTTTGTAATAGCTAAGACTGACCAAGTGCCTATAATGAACTAGGCGCTCTGCATGAAATCTTTGAGATAGGAATTATTATTATCCCTACGGAAATAAAAAAAATGGAAACACAAATGAGAAGTAACTTGTTCAAGGTCACATAGATAAAATAAAGCAGAACCAGGATTTGAACCCAAAGCACCTGGGTTGCAAAACCTTTGTTCATTACCTCCAGGTTTCACTTCCTCCCCATATGCACAGGTGTAGCACCTGCAGCCACAGTGTTTCCTTTCTGTTGGCCCTCATTGTAAAGACACCCTTAGGTAAATCAGTAAATTTCCTTCCAACTCCAACTGCCCATACCCTGTAGGGTGATGTGGATTGGTAGAAGAGAAGGCATTGTCTTGCTAACTATCACAGAGGGATTAAGTTAAATCCAGGTCATGCTCTGTCTTGGACCCAGTCTGCTTATTGCTGATAGGTACATGTTATGTGTGTGAAATTATCTACCAAACTGTCAATTGGGCAGTACATGGCAAGTGACCGCTCTTGTCTATAAAAGATTTCTTTTAGAAGTCATACATAAGCTCTGACCAATATATCAGATTCAGCTCATATTTACCAAGCAGTAACCACTTCAGTATTGATTAACTGACTAAGCACTGATCCCTTATTTATTTATTCATTTCACAAGTATTTATAAAGTACCTGTTACTACTTGGCTTTGTGTTGAGCATGAGAATGAGATACAGATTCTGCCCTGTAGCAACACAGTGAGTGGGGATGACCTGGTGAGCTGTGACATCCACAGTTATGGAGCTCAGAGGAGGGAGAAATTGACTCTGCCCTGAGAACTGAGCAAAGATCCCACATTGTATGGGGCCATGTGATCCAGGTCTTCAGGAGTGATGTTTTTTTCAGCTGATGAAAGAATTGGGAGGACATTCTAAGATTACAAACAGAATGGGGAAAACCTAGAGGCACAGAAGGGTGTGCATGTTCATGTTAGGATCACTGGGGAGAGTCAGAGTGGTATGAGCTTCAGGGCACTACCCACTGACACTCAGAATGCAATGTCAATTTTCTTCATCTTTCAAAATCAGAATGCATCCAGATTTACCAGGATTTGTGAGAAATTTAATGCCATTCCCTTCTTTGCAGCTCAATGGGGTAGGAGAAGCGTGTCTGGCTCTTTTTCTCTAGTGATCACTAATCCTTGCCTAAGGCTCAGAGGTCCATTTGAAGATGGACGTCTCTGCTGGGAGTCCCAGGTAGTTCCTTATATTAAGGACTGCTGTAGAGACCATCATCAAGGATTTTGTTAGCTTCTCCTCAAAGCCAAAGAGAACCCAGATCTTTGGCAGCTGAATGTCTGGCCTCTTCTTTGGCCACGTAGAGCTCATGGGTAGAGAGAGAAGGTACATTAATTCTTTGCAAAGAAACCCACACAGTGAGAATAAAGCCATGAATTAATGACCTCCTAACCACACTGCTGTGGAAGCAGAGAGCAGATGTAGCTCATTCCCTGATGCACTGTGTGGAGAGACAAGGTGAGAGGGACTAGATTTCTCCGTGCTCATGCAGAGTGGTGGTTTAGAGGTAGAGGCTAATCTGGCCCTGACGAGAGGTTCCTCATCTTCTGCAGGTGTGGCAGTGTGGCGGCAGCGTGGAGGTCCTGCCCTGCTCACGGATCGCCCACATAGAGCGAGCCCACAAGCCCTACACTGAGGACCTCACAGCCCATGTCCGCAGGAATGCCCTCAGGGTGGCTGAAGTCTGGATGGATGAATTTAAGAGCCATGTCTACATGGCCTGGAACATACCCCAAGAGGTAAGGAATGCCAGTGGGGCTCAGTTTCTTTGGATTTAATGGGAGGGAAAAAAACCAAAATAGTGGAAGTAAGTTTTTCTTCCCATAGGTCAGAGCCTCATTTACCATGCTAGAAGGCACTGCCAACCCACAGACATGCAGTATGTAGAAAAGGGCTGATCCTGAGGCTCTGAGCTGTTTCTGACCCCTGCCTGCACCTGATCAGAATGCTTTATAGAGAACTTAATCTCTCTCAGCCTGTGTAACCTCATTTTAAAATGAAAATTGGCCCCACAGCTCCACATTCCCTTCCTACTCCCGGTCCTCAGCTTCGCTGACATTGGGTGTTCATGGTACAGGATTAAAAATATAATAGTAATGACAAACAATTCACAAAGTGCACCTTAATCTCCCTGTAGACTGGATTTAAGCTTCTCCATTTAACCTGACCGAGCATTAAGGAATATCCATATAGGATTTATTTAGCCATATGGGTGGGGATTGGATACACTCCCTTGGGATTCTTAGTAGGAAAAGGGAATTATTCTGAACATTTTCGGCTGTTTCTGACCTCATCACAGAACCTTACTGTCTGCTGCTGTCCTCTGTCCCTCTAGTCATGTACACTTTAAGAAGTGTCAGGGAAAAGCAACGTTTCTCTCCTAGTTTTGTTCAGCCTTGCCACGTGTCACATGGAAATGACCTTGGAATGCTGAGTTGGAAGAACCCAACAGATGCCAGCCACAGGATGCCAACCTCCATACCAGCTTTTGGCCTGGAGTTCATTGCTTATGTTGCATTCTGTGCGGCAGAGCTGTTGACTGCACGACCTTTCTTTCCTCCCAGGGCTGTGGCATCCCATCGGGAGTCCTTCAGAAAGCCTCAGCTCTCTTTCAAAGATCAGTCATTGCCTAAAGTTTCCACAGGAAGGCCTTATACCTTAAACTCTCCACCAAGCTAATGTTTCTCTGGCTAAACTGTTAGAAAAGAGGCTGAGACCTGGATGGGAGCTTTCCGCAGCCTCCCTCTAGAACTACCATGCTGGGGAAGGGAACTCTAGTTTGGATTCAGACTCCTATAATCAATGAGATTTTCTTAGAGGGGAGGGCAACTGAGGAGCCGAGGAGTGTGAGACAGAGCACAGCCAACCCTCATGAACCAGTCCTGGGATTGCATCCCTGACTGTAAAAGTGTTTCTAGGGAAACCACTGTGTGCCTTTTCAGGCATTAGATGGCAGAATCCTGAGCCAGGCGCTGAGTCCTGCTGTGGGTGTCCCCTGCTGGCAGAAACTGTTACGAGCATTTGGAAACTTCCCAGGAACTCATGAGGGAACTTTGTAGACCTCCAGGCTCTGCTTAGGCTTGGAGTCCTGCCCATGTGCCCAGCCCTTTCCCTCTGTCCCCCGAGGCTGCAGACTTAGCCCTCTTTCCCACGGCAGCTGCAGATATTGAAACAGACAGCAACCCAGTGAATGGTAGAGAACTAATGAGTTGAAGTCATTGAAAAATGATGAAACTCAGTGTCTGCCTCTGACCCCTCCAGGAGATACTTCAGATCAATCAAGTGGGTGAGGGGAAGTGAGTAGATGAGAGGTGGCAATGCCCCGCAAAGCCCTTGGTGGAAAAGGAAGAAGTCAGAGTGTTTCCAAAAAAAAAAAAAATCTGTCTCTTGAGTCCTCTGTGAACTTCTGTGTCCAAACTTCCTCTTCCTCCTCTGAAGCTTCTGCAGTCAAGAGATTTTCACCTTCCACTCATTTCTCAATATACCATCAAGTATTGCCTTTGCCAAGGCCAGCATGGAGCTCCTCACTGCCTAATGTAATAGACACCTTAAAGCCTTTCGCCTAGAGGAACCCACATTCTCCTTAAAACTCCACTTCCCAGCTCCATGATTCCATATTCTCTAATCTCCTCCTCTCTCTCGGATCTCTCCTTCATTCGTGGATGAGTTCACCATGGCCGTGTGTGTAATCCATTTCTCCCTCCGCTACTAGTTCCTAGAAGCCAATCTGCAGAGCAACTGCATCAGAATCACTTTGGGAGCTTGTGAAAAATGCTGATCAGGGCCTCACCCTCAGAGATTCAGATCAGTGAGTCTGTAAAGGTGTTGGAACCTGAAAAAAAGCTCTCCAGGTGATGGTGGAGTGTAGCAGGGTCCGGGAACTGCCTACACCGGGAATCCCTCTTTGACTGTTGGCCTCCTCCCTGCCCCTCCCTGCCAGCCATCCACACAGTAAGCAGGATGAAGGCGCTTTCCTCCTCACACTGTTTCCTTCCGTGCCTCACGCTGTGTGTGCAGTCTGTTTATTGTCTGCATCTCCCGGACTCCTTTCAGGCACAGACCGTGGCAGTTCTGCTCATATATCCAGTGCTCAGGGCAGAGCCTCACACAAAACAGAGGGATACTTGGTAAAGACGAGTTGATCAAGATAGAAGAGGAGGAAGCTGGCTGCCCCCCTCCCCACGTAGTCCCCAGGAGGCATCCCAGCTGCCCTTGATGTAGTGTTGCTCCAGTACTTCCTGTTCAATCACAGACACATCTGTATCTGCTGCCAGTTTACTTCACGGTCCTTCTACAGCATTCCACCTGCAAAGGCAGAGCTGGAACCCTCCAATTCTGCCCAGGTGGCTGCCTGGAGTATTCAGTACGTTAAAACATGTTGAGACTTTGATCTGTGCTCAGCACGTAGAAAGCGCTAGAGAAGCGTTAACCCTTATCATTGCTATTGTTTCTTATGCCCTGTGCATTTTCTCCCTGGCTTTCTAACACCCTTCCTGGGGGATCATCCCCTACCTGGCACCTGAGATGCAGAGTGTGGCGCAGAGCTGGCCTTCTTACCTGCTCTCTTACCGTGTTCAGTTCCAAGTTAGTGAGAAGCCAAAGCATCCTCAAGCTCTTGCATCCTGCTTCTTTCATTGAAAATCACTTTGCTTTATCAATACAGGGAAAGTCAGCCTGCAGCAAGGCATCAATATTTTCTTAAGCAAGATTCAATATTCTAGAGCAGCTGCTGCTTCCTCTGTGCAGAGACATACTGAGGGCCAGGGATGCTCAGTGGCCCTTAGGTGCTGGCGTTTCTTTAGGTTTGGTTACAGGGAATATTGTGGCAGGAATTCTAGCCCTTTTTTGGCATGAGTAATTTTAGGAGTGTCTTGGGGCTGCCAAAACAAATTACCACAAGCTTGGTGGCTTAAAAATATAAATTTATTCTCACACAGTTCTGAAAGCCAGAAGCCTAGAATCAAAGTCCCAGCAAGGCCTTCCTGCCTTGAATAGCTTTAGGGGATAAGCCTCCCTTCCCTTTTCCAGCTTCTAGTGGCTGCTGGCATTCTTGGTTTGTAGATGTGTCATTCCAGCCCTGGCTGTGTCCTCACGTGGTCTTCTCCTCCCTGTGTCTCTGTGTATCTAAATCTCCCTCTCATTCTCTTATAAAGATACTCATCATTGGATTTTCGGCTCATCCTAAATCCAGGATGATTTTATCTTGAGATCTCAAACTAATTATATCTTTAAAGAAGCTGTAAAGTCACATTCAGAGCTTCTGGGCGGATAAGTATTTTAGAAGAAGAAATTCTTCGGTTCACTACATGAAATATTTGGCAAAACAAGATGTGTTCACTGTTTTCTACTAAGAGCCAAAGTGACCTTGTCTGAGGTTTGTGTGTTTCCCAATTTATGTGGAAAAAGGGCTTGATGCGTTTATAGTAAACACATAGTTCAGATAAGGTGAACCATTAAAACAGAAAAACAAAAGTCAGTTAATAAACAGGGAGTTGATATCTAGACATTTAAGCTGAGCAAAGAGCCAGCTCTGGAGCTTCCTAGAGGTTAGCAATGTATACCTGATGGATTATATCTCTTTTGTGTGTTAACAGGTCATAAGGAGAGAAAAAAATAGTGTTCCAATCCTGAATTCAGGAAAAAGGGTTTCCCCCTTGGAACCCAGAATTTTAGGAGAACACAAAGGTCTTCCTGAGACCAATTCTGCAAATGTCTCCTTATATAAATTGATACAGTGTTAAATTGTAGTCATATAAAGTCTAAGGATTTGCTCTTTATTTTCAATGGTATTTGGTGAGAGTACCCATCATTGCTGGTAGTCTAAATAGGGATTGTCATAGGGTTGATAACAATCTGTATGGAACAATGTATAAGTTAACTTCCCACAGGGTCAATCCAGCAGAGAGTCTCTCAAATCTTGCTTGGGGCATGGGTCATAGCAAGGTGGGGTTTGGGGCAAAGCTGCATCTCTGCCTCTGTTTCCCTGTGCAGGACTCAGGAATCGACATTGGGGACATCACCGCAAGAAAAGCTCTAAGGAAGCAGCTGCAATGCAAAACCTTCCGGTGGTACCTGGTCAGTGTGTACCCAGAGATGAGGATGTATTCCGACATCATTGCCTACGGAGTGGTAAGCAGCCAGCTTCTCAGGGGTTCCACTGAGATGCAGGTGGAAAGCAAGACCAGAAAGAGATGCAGAGAGGAAGGGAAGTTTCCCACCCATGTAGAAACTTGTAGCAGACCTGGGGACTAAGCACTGGTTTCTAGACCTGCAAGACAGTTTTTGCTTTCACAGCTGAAACATTTGCAGTCCCTGGACAGAGGTGCTTGTCTCTCCTCTGTCATCCTAAGCAGTTCAGCTCTGGCCCCAAACCTGTAGAGTCCACTTAATAAAATACAGAAGCAGTTTGCTTAAGATTGCAAAATAACATAACCACCAGCCACTGTTGTCCCAGCTGAGGCACCTGAGTTTCTATTAACCACCTTGTGCATCCCCGACCAAAGGGCTGATGCTCCCACACTCATACAGAGCCACCCTCAAAGGAGTTCTGACAAACAGAACCTTCTCAAGCTCACTGTACTTTAGTTCTCTCTGTTGATGAGAGGCAGCAAGATGCAGATAATGGGATCTAGAGACAGACCTGCTTCTGATCTGACCACTTTCCAGGCAAGCATCTTAATGTTTGCGATCCTCAGTTCCTTCATCCGTTCAATGGGATAAGATAATACTGTCCTAGAACAGAAGTAAGTCTGAGATATGTAAATATACTTTCTGTCTGAGGTTACAGTTCTTTGAACACGATAAACTTTCCCATTCTCCCAATAGTCCCAGTATCCACAGCTCTTAAGATATTTTAAATGTTGCCTGATTGATTTTTGGATATCTCGCCTGGATTTTGCTGCTTTACAGTCTGAGCGTATAACACTCATATCTATGACAGTGAAGCCTTTGAGACCACTCTTCATGTTACAGAAGCAGAAACAGAGGCAAGAAATGGCTTGTTTCATTCATACAGACAATCAATAGTGGAACTGCGTTTAACACCAGCTAACGCCATCCTGGTCCTCACTTGGACAGTCTCCCCCTAGTCCTTTTTGATATCCCAGGATGAAAACTTGAAGAATGGAGGCTTGTCCTTTGATTCCATGTGGTCTAAGTTCAAGACCGGCCTCAGTAGGGACCAGAATGCACAGAACAATAGCTCAGAAGTGGGAAATGTCCTCACTGAGAGACCGGTTCAGTGTTCTCTATGGACTCTGAACATTCTAAAAGTCACAGACCCCAGGGCCTCCCTATCCCCCACCAGACTCTCTTATCCATGAAGCTAGTTTGTAAGGAGTCCATCCTTCCATGACAGTCCCCAAGGAGGTTGGGGGACACATCACAAGAGAAGTGCCCAGGAGCCTCTTCCCTCTAAGCTTCTCAGGATGGTGAATTCAGAGGTTACAAAGACCTAATGGGCCAAGACCTAAATGGTTGATGCCCAGCTGTTATCTGAGGCTCCAGATCCTGCCATCGCCATGGAAACAAATTGTCCCATAAAGTGCTCATCATTCCCCTCTACCTCACTAGAGTCATCCAAGAACTCAGCCTTCCTGAGATCCCAAACTCTGACCTATCACGAGCTGTGGGCGCTTTTTGACCACTACAAAGACAGTGATCCACGGTGACTCCAGAGAAACCATGAACTCCAAACCTCTGTGAGCAGGCGCCAGCTTCTAAACTGCTGTTCCCAGCTGCAGCCGAACAGGATTAGCCCAACTCACCCAGAGAGGCAGAGGAAGCAGGGGCGATGGAGGTGGATACGGGTAGCCATTGCAATTCTGGGTCTGGGCCAAAAGTATTCTCGTCTTCTAAGCAAAAATGTCCCTTCCTGCACTTGTGTGCAGTAGGTTGATCAGGTAGTCCTTCACGCCAAACCCAGAAATGTTTTGTTAGTATGTGGTGTGTACGGGACTGGGATCTGGATCTGCCTGAGCCCATAGCATGGGTTGTTTGCACTCAGTCGTGTTGAAGGCATGCGCACATCATCTCAAAGGGCCAGGCTGTGTTAGCCATCCTAGGGCTGGCTGAGGTCTCTAGTGTCTGGACTCCTACATGAGCAGCACTATGCTTGCTTGTCAACGAGCATAATGAACTCTTAATAGGGGCAATGGGGTGAAGATGGGCCAAGCAGGATGCAGCCACAAGACTAAGAGAATTTGCTGGGTCTGAATTGTTCTTCATGGTAATTAGTTTTACTCTAAAATAAAGAGACCAGATGTCTTTTTCAGGGACAGAGGTTCTTTGTTATCGTTCTCTGTTTCAATTCATGCTGAAACTACATTGTTAATAACCTGTGAGTCTCTCAATCAGGAAAGTGTCACATCTACATCCCAGCCCATTAATCCATTAATAGGTCTCATCAATGATTCCTACAGACAGAAGGACCTGGGAACCCTATTGTGTGTGGGAGGGTCTCCCCTGGATCACTGAGCCCCGTGTCCAGGGAGATGGGATAGCTTTGGATGGATCCTAGCTCTGATGCTAAGAGTAGAGACAGAGAAGCATCTAGAAACAGACATGCTGGCTTCTGAACATTTGCTTTGCCACTTACTTGCTATGTAACCTTCACAGTGTGCAAAACCTTAATGGTTATTGTAATCTGTCTCATGGGACATCTTTTACAGTCTTAGGATTATAGCCATTTGCATGATAGAAAGAGCCTGGGCTTCAGAGTAGACAGACTCCAGTTCTCTCACTTGTTCAACTCTGATGCCCTTAACTTGGGAATGCTGTGCATTCATTTGTTCATTTGCTGTGCACATTAATTTGACAGGTGGTACCTGTCTACTACATGCCATGGACCATAGGATGCATGAGATGCAGGGGGAAAATACAGTATGCATTTAAATAAAAAATTATTATAGTAATAGACATATTGCCATTAATCCCCTTCAAAATGCTCCCCCTTACTTTAAGTACACTTAGCCCATCTTTCTTGTTACTTGCTGAAGTTCTGGGAGTCCTTTTTCATGAGTTCTTCAGTGCTACTGTCATGGCTGCCTCAAATGTCCTGAACTGATTAAGAACACTTACCTTTCATGATCATTTTGACTTTGAGGAAGAGACAAAAGTTGCAGATTGAATGAATCAGATGGGCAAGGGCACACCATAATGTTTTTATAAGCCTGCCTTTTGCTAGATGGCACTCAGCAGCATTCACTATTTTTTAATCATATTTTGTTGTAATACTCATGAAAGAGGACTTCCAGAACTGCTTCAGAAAATGCCAAGAACGATGGGCTAAGTGTATTCAAAGAAAGGTGAGAGTATTTTGAAGAGGACTAATAACAATGTGTCTTTCACTATAATACATTTTTTAAAATTTAAGCATCCGCTGTATTTTCTGATCATCCCTTACACAGAAAGAAGGGCAGAGACCCAGTCTGGAGACTAAAAATGAGCGACAGACAGTTGAAATAGCAACAAGAATGAAATATTCCGTTGCTGCAGTAAGAAAAATGAGAATACTGGAGAACAGGAGAGCAGTGGCCTCAACCCTGGAGCTGGGTCAGGAAAGGACTCCAGACTGGCAGATAAACTGAAACCAAAAAAAGAGGAGGTTTGGTCAGGCAAAGAGAGGGCAGAGCAGAGGGCAACATGGGCAAGTGCCCACACAGTGGGAGCAGCATTACAGATGGGCAACCCCACCACGGGTTCTTCAACATTACGAGAGAATATTACAGAGCTGGCTGGGTCATTTTGAGAATTAGGTGCGATTCAGATGGAAAGCTCTTTTTGTGGTACCTGGCACATAGATGCATTCCTAACAGTTAGTTTCCCTGAGTGGCTTTCGGGTAGGTTATAGCAGTAATAATAGCAGCTAACAATTATTGCACATCTGCTGTTTGCCAAGCCCTATGGTAAGCACTTGTAGATATTGTTTCACTTAATCTCATAACAGCCCTACGAGGTAGGCACTATTATTATCTCTATTTGAGAGGGAAGAAAGCAGACAGGAAGGTGTTCTGTTGCTTTGGATCCAGGACTCCATTTCTCCCACTGCTTCAAAAGACCACTTGCTGAAAGGGGAGGAGTTGACACAGAGCCAGGGTAGACTTTGTCAGAATAACAGCCACAACCTCGTCCTCACCTAGAGGCCAATTTAAGAACTCAGGGAAGAGCCCAGCCTTGTTTCAGTGGCCTCTGGGTCTTTCTGTTTGCCATCGCAGTTAGAAAGTCATGGCAATGGGTTGCAGTGCTTGGTTTTAGAGGCTGCAACAGGACAGGTCCAAAGTGTGTTCTCCCACAAAGGCAAGCCTATCAGAGAGTGCATAGTGGAAGACTGCTGCCTTTGCCTGGGGAGTGGACACATGTTCATATGCTCTTCTTCAGAACCTTTGAACTGTCCATGTGGGGCTAAGCTGCTATAACCCATAAAGGAAAGGAAGCGCAAGAGAAAAGAACCTGTTCCTCATCGCCTGTGAGGAGCAGGGTGTACTTAGAACTCACATGGACCACTGGTATCTGTTCCATGTCATGCCACTCGAGGGGTCCGTTCCACTCCTGCCACGAGGCATCAGGACTGCACAAGCCCAGGGCTCACTGTCTCTGGACTGTCCCCAGTAAGGTGACCCTGCTGTGGTCCATGGCCTCTGTCTTTCTATATTCTGGTCTCCAGTCACCTGTACTAAGGTTGCTAAGAAGAGAAACCCACTTAAGCTAGCTCAAGTTAAGGCAGAGGTGGGTTAAAGTACCATAAGCCTCTATGGACACAGGAACTATAGTATGGCTAGACATGGGCACATGAGCTAGAAAGCCATTAAAGCCAAAGCAAAAGCAGAATGGTCTCTTTCATCTCTTACCTTATCTGCCTTCTTATTTATCCCCTACACTTAATCTCAATCATTTCACAGTTCTGTGCCCACTATCCAGTGATCACAGTCTCTTCATCTCATTGGATTCCTGTCACAGGGTAAGAGAATGACGAGATGGTCAAATTCCAGAGATAAGAGAGAAATAAGAACGAGAGACTCATTTAGCCTACACTATGGGTAGGTACCCAGTGGTCTACTCAGCTGTGACTGATGAGCGGGGCCATGGAGACCATAGGCTGCCCTTTCCAAGAGTGGCCTTAGATCCTTGAAAGCCATTGTGCCTGGAGAAGTGGAAGAGTAACACTGTAGCACTCCCTTGTGTAAGCACATATATGTGTCTTTTATCTTTGAGTAGACGATTTCTGCCCCCAAAGCCAGCTCGCTGTTTAAGGAGATGTGAATGTTTCTCCCTGAGCATTAGGCAGGCTTCCCTCATACCTCTGTACAAGGCAAAAAGCTGGTACCTGCTGATCCCAGTGTTCAAGGGACCTTGGGTTGATTGAGGAGATGCTCTCTGTCTCAGGGGATGCTTGATTCCCAAGTTAATGCATCTCTTTTCTCTCTGTGTGGTTGTCTCTCCTCTGATGCTCAGCTGCAGAATTCCCTGAAGACTGATTTGTGTCTTGACCAGGGGCCAGATACAGAGAATGTTCCCATCATGTACATCTGCCATGGCATGACACCCCAGGTGAGTCCTTTGGGAGTCCCTGTGCCTGGGGTGGGGGTGGGTTATGACTGACTGTCTGATGTTGGGGAAGAATAGCTAGATTATGTCGTGGCTGCTCTGGATTTTCATCGGGAATTACTCCCACAACCCTAAGTGGAGAGTCATACCTGTCTTGTCCGGAAGGAAACTTCAGGGGGAGGGTGAGTGCTAGGTGCCCGGGATCTCAAGGGGCGGGGAGAAGAAGATAATTTTCTAAAGAAGACTACCTGCCTCCTCTGCAGAGGCGATGGGTAAATCACACTCCTGCTCCTGGAAGTCAAGCCTTTCAGTCTCTAGCAGGAAGGAGCCCGTGTTCCCCAAGCTTCCCCATGTAGCTAAGTCCAACATGTCATGGTCTTCAGGCTCTCTGCTATAGCAGAGCATATCTGGGGCTAAAATTTATAGCCATGAGATTTCTTCTCAGCTCTTATGACCTGCTTCTGGTGGAGAATGAAGGATGGCTACCAGGAAAATGAGTTATTCTTAAGAATTTTTCATGTGTAGTCTAGGCTTCAGACACACAAAGATGCCAAGACATAAGCAAGACATGGGCAAGGCATAGGTTTACTCAGAAAAGTATGACACACAACTATTGACCAGTAGCACCATGAAATGACGTGTTCTCAATGATAATGAAGTTATCAAAGTTGTCTTAAAATTTACTTAACTCCAGAAGAGAGCAATGATTTTAAAATGATACTATCATGAATAGATGATACAGACACAGATGTGTGTGTGGTGTGTACAATTGTATTCTCTTTGTCCAAAAGAGTTAGTACCTGCCTACATGCATGACTGATGAACTTCACAACGTGTGTGTTGCTTTGAGTACGAGTGCTGAGACTTCCCAGAGACTGTCAGGTGAAATCCGACCACTTTTGCGGGCTGAGTTGCTGTGCTCTCCCTGGTTAATCACAGGTCAGGTCAGCGGATCTCACTATCCCCACGCTGCCTCATGCTGGCACAGCAGCTCATTCCTCACCGCTATAAAATGCCGTGATGTTTGTAATGTGTGACCATCTTTACATAAACTTTTCTTGAAGTACCATATGTGTGTGAATGTTATATATATATATGATAGACAGAAATAACTTGATGAATTTCCACAGAGTAAACACACTCATGTAACCAGTGTCCAAATTAAAAAAAATTTTTAAAAATTCAAACTATACTACCTGATACTGAATTTTACTCAGTAGGATCACATAGCACATACCTTCTTGTGTTGACTTCTATATTTATGAGACACATCCCTGATATTTCATGTAGGTGTAGCTTGCTCATTTGTATGACTATGTGTTCTCCCCCAGGTTATGAATACAATTTACTATCTACCCTACTGTTGATGTATTACCAGTTGGAAATACTGTGAAAATTGTGGCAGTGAATATCCCGCTCATGTCTTTTGATGCACATATGTACTCGTTTCTTTTGGATTTATACCTAGAAGTAGTATCATTGAATCATAGGGCTGATGTATTTCACTTCTTGTAGACATTGCCTGTATTGGTTGGCTCCCGCTGCCAAAACAAAATGCCACAGGCTGGTTTGAACAACAAAAATTTATTTTCTCTCAGTTCTGGAAAGTATAAATCAAGAAGAAGCCAACGTGGCTTCTGGTAGATGCCCTCTTTGTGTCTTGCTCATGGCCTCCTCTTGGGTGTTCCAAGAGGAGGGGAGAGACAATGAAAATGAGCTCACTGGTGTCTAGATTATAAGAATTGTAAGATCCCATGGGATCAGGGCTCCACCCTTGTGACCTCACTTAACCTTAACTTGAAGATTTGGAGAAGTTTCAGTCTATCCACACTGGAAAAGAAATGAGAAACCTTCTTATGAAGAAGACACTAAGGGTGTGGGTCATGGTAAATGCATCATGGAGTGTGATTCACCGAATTAGTCATCCCAGCAGAGGCCACAAGGGAGGTTACACAGGCAGAGAGGCATAAGAAGTAGAAAGGAATGAAGGGAGGTTGTTCTGCTTCTTGGATTCCCCAATCCTAGGCCATGGAGCTGTTCAGCTATGAATGTACACTTTTCCTCAAGGAAAAAGAAAAACAATGCCCAAGGCCATTGAGAGGTCATGGGGGCTGCCACTAGTACCACAGCCCCTGAAAACAGAGATGCACGGTGTTGCCGGCAGGGAGGAGACAGGGCCACCCCCACAGAGCCCTGGGGGTGATGCTGTCGGCCTAGTGGGCCTGAAGGACAAAGTCATTAAGCCAAAGATTTTCCTCGAGCCTTAAGATCTAGTGGAATTTGCCTTGCTTAGGTCTTAGACTTATTTGGAGCTCATGATCCCTTCTTTGATTTTTGATGTCTTGATTTTGGAATGGGAATGTCTGTCCTATACCTGTCCCACCATGGTATTTTGGAAGCATATAATGTGTCCGTCTTCATGGGCTCATAGCAGGAAACAAATTCTGCCTTGGGATGAATGTACACCCCAGTCTCACCCATACCTGATTTAGATATTTAGATGAGACTTTAGGCTTCTGACTTTAGAGTTGATGTTGGAATGAGTTAAGATCTTTGGGGCTGTTGAGGTGGGATGAATGTATCTATTCTACATACAAGAAGGACATACAAGAATTTGGATGGACCAGGAGCAGAATGCTATGAGCTGCATATCCACAAATTCAGATGTTAAAATCCTAATCCTGGCAATACTGGCAGTGAGGAAGTAAATTAAGGATAAATGATATTATAAAGGGGAGACGACAAGATAGGATAATGGGTTCTTTTAAGAGTTGACACCAGAGGTGCTCATTTGCTCTCTCTCTGTCTCTCTGTCTCTGTCTCTGTCTCTGTCTCTCTCTCTCTCTCTCTCTCTCTCTCTCTCTCTCTCTGTGTGTGTGTGTGTGTGTGTGTGTGTCTCCCTCTCTCTGCCATGTGGAAGATAGCAGTAAGTCAGCTATCTGCAAGCTGGGATGAAGGCCCTTGCCAGAAATAAAATTGGCTAACATTCTGATCTAGAACTTCCTAGCCTCCAGAACCATGAGCAAGTTGTTTTCTGTCATTTAAACCACACAGTCTATGGTAGTTTGTTATGGTAGCCCAAACCAATAATTATACCTCCAAAGAGTTTTCCCAAGTTGTTTTCCCAGTTTTTTCTCCCACCAACTGCTTATGAGAATCCAGTCACTCTATATCCTTGGTCCATTTTTGGTATTATCTGTGTTTTTTAAATTATAGCCAATGTGATAGGTATGTAGTGGTATCATATTGTGATTTGAGTTTGCATTTCTTTGATTATTAATGAAGTTGAGCACCAAGATTTTCAGCATAGAACATCCTCATGCTATTCTTGCATGGACACAGGTAGATAGACCACAAGTACTTTAGTCTCTTTGTAAATTCTCTCTCTGCTTTCTAGTACTCACAGTCCTTTCTAGCCCATTGGGCTTGTGTTGGATTTCTGTTTTGTGCGAAGGTGGTGTTGACCTGAGCAGAGGCAGCTGGTGCTCAGCCAGCTGTGGAAGATTCAGTATGGGACATTCTGTGTTGTGGCTGTAACATGAGTTCCGGGACCACATTGCCTGACATGCCAGCTTTGAAACACTCATGAAATCTTAGCAAGTTTTCTCAATCTAGAACTATTTTCTTATTTGTAAAATGTAGGCATTCAATGGTGTTGTGGTTTGGGTTTGGTTTGAATGTGTCTCCCCAAGCACTCATGTGTTAAAATTTCTTCCCCATGGTGAGTTTTAAGGAGGCAGAGACTTCTTCCAGTGACAGTGTTCAGAGGCAAGGCCTTTTGGAAGTGATTAGAATTAGATGTGGTTGGTCATTAGGGTGGGGGCTCGAACCTGGAGAACTGAGCCTGGAGGCTTTCCTAGAAGAGGGAGGGAGATCAGACCTATAAGTCTGATCCTTGTTTTTGCCACGTGATGCCCTCAACCACCCAGGATTCTGCCAGCAAGAAAGCTATCCACAGATTTGGGCCCTTAAGTTTCAAAAATTATGAGCCCAAACAAACCTTTTTATTTATAAAGTAGCCTGCCTCGGGTGTTTCATCGTAAAGCAAACCAAAAGAATACAAATGATGTACCAAATAAGAGTTTCTGTGAGGATTTAATAGATGTATTTCAGATAGTGCTTGGCGTAACCTAAGTGCTCAGTGAATACTAGCTGTTAGTATTACACTTCAGTGAGCTCCTGTTTGTGTGTATTGCAGTCACCATTGTAAGTATCCATTAAGTCTCAGTATGAGCACCTTCAAGGTTTTCTCTGACACTCACACTGACATGACTCCACTAAATTTCACATATCGTCTATCATGCATTCCTGCCCTTGGCCAGGACCTACCCATAGACCACGGGACCACTGGGAGTTGCCATCATAGCAACAATGGATGCAGTGGAACCAGGGATAGAACAGTCAAGTAGACAACACGGTGCATGAGGCCTGGGCTTGATCTTACAATACTTTTGCCGTGTCCCCTGTACCTTCTCTTCATTGTGTTTTACTCCTTTTGTGCGGAATAATTTCATATGGAAGTGTGCAGATCTTAAATAGACACTTCAGTGAATTCCTATGTTTGTACATATTGTAGTTATCATGAAGATCAAGCCTGTCCTCATGGCCAACATCTTCACTCAAAGATAGACTGTCCTGGTCTCTTCCACGGTTGATCAGTTTCTTATGGGCCTGTCTTTGGACAGGGCCATCTCTAGGCCCAATTCTATGAGCCCTCACAACCTGCTTATCTCCAGTTCCTTTGTTCTCAAATGCAGCTGACCTGGAAAACTGTGGTTTGTGCTGTGCTTGCCAGAAATGCTGGGAGCTTCTTGATGTGAATCTGCAGCCAATCTCAAAGAGTTGGGTCCCTTCTCCACCCCTTGAAGCTACAGAACACTGTGTGACTTGGATGTACAGGGAACACTGGAGCCCAGGTGCCCTCTCTAAGATGCACAGCTCTCAGTGCCCAAGCTCAGGAGGCTTGGGACCAGCCTCAGGTCACACACATTTCCCAGAGCATT